TTAGTTACGGTTAAAGGAAGTGCAACTCAGCCCAAGTTTGTTGCGCAGCTTCTTATGGAGCAAAATGATGTGTCCCTTTGGTAGAGCAAAAATAGACACATAAGGATCAACATCGCCTTCTAGTTAACTTCTTCTCGTTCGTTCGTTTCAGCCGAAAGACGTCCACTGCTGGACTAAGGCCTCCCCCAAGGATTTCCTCTCCATGGGGGAACTTCTTCTATTAGTGTTTATTAATGTCAACAAACACAAATTTGAACACAAAATAATCAAATCTTTCTCGGAACTCCAAAATGTCGATATGAAAAAAATTACTCAGACTTCTACATTCGAATAAGTATTTGATATAATCAACGGACATAATTTATCTCTTAACCTTTCCTCTTTTTACATCGTTACTTTTTACGTTTGTATCCTTCTAATAACGATAATATACGTTTTCGCAATCAATTTTGCACTTGCACAGTTTTCCTCCCGAGCCGTCAGTAAGCCTGGCTCGGCGCTCCAAACCAAGTATTACCAACTTAAAGACTCCAACTTGCCGCGCCATCATAATGTGCGGGGGAATTATAAACTTTGCAAGAGAATGTTCGTGGGAGTTGATAAATAATATCACAGCAGTGATAGTTAGTAGAAGGTATAAATTAAAAGTGGACTTAATAGCTAATTGGTGCATTTAAACCTAAATAAAGAATATTCTGAGTTCTGTCTCCCTTTCCTTTGATTTTATGCAATAAACGCCCCTGTGGTCACGGTAATACTATGATAGTATTACCGTGCTGTGGTCTAGCGTTAAGATCACCAGTCTCAGACCCTGAGTTCCCGTACTCCAATCCCAGTGAAGACAAAACTTTCTCCTCGGTTTGGTTGGTCATAGGGCTTGTTCTAAGTCTGTCGCCATCAAAACAGTGTCAGTAGGTAGGATTTTTTGCTTAGTTGGAGTTAAAATAACTCTTCCTCTGTGGTAGACGATTCCAGGTGTAATGAGTTTCCACCTTCAGCACTTTCCACTAAGTGAGATGTAAGAGCTTTCCCGATGATGTTAAAACACACACAATCCGACAAATGAATGTTCCAGCCTATGGTTTTAGCCTTCTAGCTGTCTGAGTTTATATCGGCGTTTCTTCTTTGTCTCGCAAAAGGTAAGGAGACCCACCTTTGACCTTTTTTTTATAAGTGCCGAAATACTGGTCAAAACTGAATAAATATTTCTGATTTAGATTTTGAAATACATTACAGGGTAGGTCCGTATTTAAAATAGTACAATAGTTAGGTAAATTATCGATGTAAAGTTCGCCTTCAGTCTGGCCTGTGGTTTCGATAGATCCAAATATTGAAATTGATCAGTTCACAACACCCTCTTATATGTTTGGCGGATGCGTCTTTGCGGTAAGGGGAGGTGAAATTTATTACATTCTGATTTTGTAATAAAATAACAACGTTAAGGGTTTCTTAACCCTCCAATGGCAGTAGACGGATCATAAAAAAATATTTCAATATTTTAACATTTGCAATAAAATACGATCGACTCTGGTTCAGTTCTGTTTGTGAATCGATGTGTATTATTTACAAGCTTTTTATTACTTTTTATTAAAGCGTTTTAAAATAGTATCCTACATACATCCCAACTCAAGAATTCTTGTAAAATTCTGAAATTCGTGCAAACATTGAAGCTCAACCGAAGCCATGCTTGAGTTAGAATTAAATAAGGGTTCATTTCAATATGACTGACTCGAAAAATTATACGAGTAAACGTCTTTTCGATTATGAATAACTCGAATAATTATAAGCCTAAATGAGCCTAAATAAAGGTCAATCAGGTCAAGCATTAAATGAATTTTCATTGTAATTGATCAAACTCAATTCCATGTTTCACGAAAATCCTATTTCTAACGGCGAAGGGTACGTCGTTCTACGCAGTCTACGCTGGCAGACCGTACCTATACGCAGTTCGTAAGCTTGCTTAAAAATTCATAACCCTCGAATCACATCTTCCAAGACACATCAAACGGATTCGGCATCGTGGGGTTACTTCCATAGCGTCCCCTTAAAAAAAGAAAAAAATCACCACGCAAAGACGCAATTACTCCTAGGCAAACACAACTTTGCCGTTGCCGAACTAAAAAGTTGATTAATTTGTCGTCATAAAGTTCAATTTGCCGTGAAAGTTTCGCACAGTTTACGCAAAAGTATCGCGGTCGGCAGTACGCTAAAAGCTCGCTCGTTCAAAGAAATGCTTCTAATGAATCTATTGATAGCTCAGCTTATGTGTATATGTGTCAAGTATTTTTTTAAACGCACAAACAGTGCGCCTGTGTGCGTGCAAGGAGGGGAGGCCAAGAGATGCTTTCTTCGACCCCTCGTTTCTTATAGAACGGTCAACCGGTTTTGGTGTTTGTATTCTTTGATCATTTTTGTTGTACTTATCTTAAAAATTAGGTTAACTCTACTGAATAAAATAAACGGTTGATTAACTACAATGGATTTTCATTTTATAATAGAGTTTTAAGAGATTTGGTGACGAGGTGAAAACTTTTTGGTTTAATCCTTCATTATTGAGAGTGGTCAATATTTACAGAATTTTATGGAATATGGTTAGAAAGACTTAATTTATGACCACAGACGTGCCTCCCGGTGGACGGATGATCTAGTGAAGGTCGCGAGAAGCACCCCTGGATGCGGGCAGGGCAGGACATGCAAAAAGCCAGTAGTAGACATTCTCTGTTTGAAACAAACGACGACGACTTCAATATGAAACGTTGTCATTTGCACCTTATCTTTTAATGTACATTGAATTGGAGTGGAAAGATTTTTTGATCCAGGTCTTAATAGAAAGACGATGATTGAATAACTTTAAAGTTTATGTCCTGCACAGTAGATGTATCTGAATAATATAAATAAATCATATTTTGTAACCTATCTTGATTTCACGTGCAGTTGCGTCATTCGCTTGCGTTGCATAGTTTATGTAAGCGTGAGGTTAAATATTTCATACATATTTACCTGAAACACTGGCCTTTATGTCCCAGCTCATAAAGTTGATAATTAAGTATCAGATTGCGTAAAAACCGCATCGAGACGGATAATCAACATATGCGAATTGCAATAACTATAGTTTCGCGTCGCGTCGCTCTTGGTAATCGGTTAAGGGGATAACTGATGTGAAAATAAACTACCACTTTAAACCCATTGAGAGTGTACTTTCCCGGCATTCGTAAGAGACGAACGTTAAAAATATTAGGTTAAAATTTATACAGCTATTAACAAGTCTTCATACTGTTACTTTAATGAGCTGTACTAAATAAATATTTATTAATTCTTCATTCCATCACTGAAACCTGAAATTTCTTTTCAAATAATGGCTTTAGATGTTTCTATTGTCTTCTACAAATATCCTCTGCAATCGACCCTCTTTATTTTCTATCTATATTGATGACAATAGGTAATATAACGTAATCGTCATTTGCTTAACCCTGAAGGTAAGTAACTAAAAGATAAGAGAGCAGAATAGTTTGTGCATAATACTAGTATAAAGGCACTGGGTCTCTATCAGAAGGAACTCTAGGGGTGGAATCTCCATTGGCGTGGGTTAGCGGGCAAGGAGATAATATGTTGGATGGTTGACAATCACTTTCCCTACAATTTAACGTTCCACCAAACTCAACACGCTTTCAAAGATAACCTCGTAGCCGCTTGCTCACACTTGACATGATGACACAACTGATTGACAGTTACCTTTTTCTGCGCATCAGTCGGGTGTTACGTTTAGGAATCACAAACCTTCCGCTCTACAGATTTATACAGATAACATAATATTAAGATTGGTACTATTAATCATCAATAATAATTTGCAGCATCTGTGTCCGGCGCCGACAAGTACATAAAGCTTAATTCTGGACTTATGTACCGTTTTTTGTAGAAATATCAAGTAAAAAAACTGACTATTATAATATTAATACCTAACCTCAAACTAAGCAGAGATTAAAGATTAAAAAGCATGATGACGGAAACCATTATGCCTTACTATTTTTTCACAATCAGGAAGCACTTGGCTTCATCATCATCATCTCGCCTGATGGAAAGTGATGATCAGGCCGAAGGTGGAAGCGAGCTTCACCCGGAATCGTCAATCAAAGAGGTACTGGTTGGTTATCTTACCTCCACCTGCGGGAACACAACAATGCTGTTGACATTGTTGTTATGGCGACAGACTTACGTAAGATGGTAGTGAGCCAGGGTGACTTTAAAAACAAGTCAATATTAACAATACTTACTTACTTTACTTAAAAATAGCACGTTATTGTTTGTTGAGACTTTTTGCACTAGTTACTTCAAACTTTCAAAAAAAGACGAAAGATTTTTGTTTTTGCAAAAGTATCAAATCTTCTAAGTCGCAGTACAAATCACTCCCCTTATTCGAGCGACTCGCCGATCGTCTCAAGCCCGCGAGGGTCGACTCCCGGCCCTTGCAAAACTCCTCCTTTATATTTTCTTCTTTGTTATGTAAAAAATAATAATGGGCGAAAGGGGCCCAAAATCGATACGCCTATGTCTACTTTTTTCTCGATAATGGCTGTTATTTTGTGAATCGAATGGTATCGATTTGCAATGGGGCTTAGGATTGTTCGTTGGAGGCGGACGATTGAAAGTTTTGTTTTTGTTTTTATGATGATTCATACTTCATAAGCAACTTTAACGGTTAGTGACTACGAATCAGTCACTAAAGATAGTCACAGTCGTAATAACTCTACTAATGATCTAACTATAATGGTTAATGAACCATTATTACCCCAACCAAACATTACAGACTTTTGCTAAAGATCATTTTTTAAAATAAAGTCCCTAGGAGGTGTTAAGATTTTTAGTACCTAGCACTGTCGAACTAAAATAACATAAGTACCTATTAAGTACAGATCCTATATTTTCTGCTATAATAAATATTTTTAAATAGGCAAGTGCCCGAAAGAGTTAGGCGTAAAAATCTTAAAACAAATCAAACTTACCTCCTTTTATTTTCAATCACTTTCAGCCTGAAAGCCTTTGCCTTTTTAACTTCGACCACAACTTTCACAGACTTTTTATCACAAAACTTCCTCACTCGAAAACCTAACGCGAACTAACGCCCCAACAGCTCTTGGGTCTAACTGACCCAAATCTTCAAAAAGCGATTGATCTAACCGGTTTACCAGAAACTGGGTCTTTTGTGGCCGCATAATAGTCCNCTTTTAAAATAATGGCTTTAGATGTTTTGTACTGTCTTCTACAAATATCCTCTGCAATCAACTCTTCTTTATTATCTTCATTGATGACAATTGGTTCTATTAAGTCATCTTCATCTGCTTAACTCGAAAGGCAAGTAACTGAAAGGTAAAAGAGCTGAATAGTCTGTCTATGTGCATAAATACATGAAGCTTACTCCTGGATTTATGTATCGTTTCTTGTAGAAATAATAAGTTAAACAACTCCTTATTACATCAATTACCTAACCTCAAACTAAGAAGTACTTAAAGATTAAAGCGCATGGTAACCAGATAACGGAATCCATTAGGACTTCTTATTACCTACTTATCAGATTTTTTGTCCTCAACGAGTTAGCTCTTGGACTGCATCTTTGCATGGGAAGTGATGATCAGGCCGAAGGTGGAAGCGAGCTTCACTAGGAATCCTCCACCACAGAGGAACTGGTTATCTTACTTCCAACTGCCGAAACACAACAATGCTCTAAACATTGTTGTTATGGCGACAGACTTAGGTAAGATGGTAATAGCTAGGCGTCCACTTTAAACTAGCCAATACTAACAACACCTACTTCTTTCGTTTTAGCCAAATAACCTAGGCTAGGTGGACAAACGATTTGTGAAGGTCGCAGAACCTGGGTACGGGCAGAGCAGGGCCCGGTCGTTATGAAAGTTATAGGGGGAGGCCTTTGTCCAGCATGTCCAGCAAGCTTTACTTCATTTGGCTGAATTGCTTACTTTACATAAAAATACGTTATTGTTGGTTGGTTGAGACATTTGCCCTATTTGAATTTTTACTTCAAACTTCAATACAAATAAAAAATTTGTGCGAAAATATCAAGTCTACTAAGTCGCAGTACAAATCACTCCCCTTATTTGAGCGACTCGCCGATCGTCTCAAGCCCGCGAGGGTCGACTCCCGGCCCTTGCAAAACTCCTCCTTTATATTTTCTTCTTTGTTATGTAAAAAATAATAATGGGCGAAAGGGGCCCAAAATCGATACGCCTATATGTACTTTTTTCTCGATAATGGCTGTTATTTTGTGAATCGAATGGTATCGATTTGCAATGGGGCTTGAGATTGTTCGTTGGAGGCGGACAATTTAGAGTTTTCTTTGTATGATGACGCATACTGAGTTGACTTTAACCGTTAGCGACTACGAATCAGTCACTAACCCAGTCTACTGCTAATAACTCTACTAAAGGTACTAAGTACTTGTAAGAACTATTTATTAGTCTAAACAAATAAAGAAATTTTTTGACTTTGACTATAATGGTTAATGAACCATTATTACCCCAACGAAACATTACAGACTTTTGTTAAAGAAATTGTTTTTAAATAAAGTCCTTAGTGGTTAAAATTTTCAGCAGCACTGTCATACAAAAGTAACATACATATTACAGATCCTATATTATTTCTGCTATAATAAGTATTTTAAAGAGTGCCAGTGCCTGAAGGCTAATAAATATTTTCAAGAGTCAGTGCCTGAAAGAGTTAGGCGTAAAACTCTTAAAACAAATCAAACTTACCTCCTTTTATTTTCAATCACTTTCAGCCTGAAAGCCTTTGCCTTTTTAACTTCGACCACAACTTTCACAGACTTTTTACCACAAAACTTCCTCACTCGAAAACCTAACGCGAACTAACACCCCAATAGCTCTCGGGTCTAACTGACCCAAATCTTCAAAAAGCGATTGATCTAACCGGTTTACCAGAAACTGGGTCTTTTGTAGCCGCACAATAGTCCAGATGGTCTCGGATGCTGTTAGTGTTCGCGGGCCTAGGAAAAAAACTGGTTTAACCCTGAATAGGCCATTGTGCGCGATCGGTTATTTTGATTTATTCGATTTTTAGTGTGCGAGCCGCGGGATAAAAAGATGAAGCGATCAACAGGTACATGCGAGGCCAGAAGTTGGAAGATTTTTGAATATGAAGGAAATGGAAACGATTCTAGTTTTATTTGAGTGAAATTATTAATTCACACGTATTATGTATGGTTACAAATTAATTAACAAGAGCTAGATAGTTAGAGGTTCTAATACCTTTCAGGCATCTGTTCCTGTGAAAAAATCTTTTTTGTCATTAGACATTATTTATTCAATGAAAATTTGTTTTTAATAATGATAAGGAGTTTTGACAAGAGTATGAATAGGGATTTTAAATAAATAAAATAAAGATCTTACATACGAAAATGTTTTATTACCAAAAATTCTTCACAAAGTCATACTTGTGCAGATGCGTCAATACAATTACAATAAAATTAAGAAGGAAGTAATCACGTTACATAAAATTTTCTTTATTGATTTTTATAGGTTATACCAAACATTTATTTTTAAAACATCAATATCACAAAAATGACTTATTTTAGAACATCACGCTTTGCGCAATTCTTAAAATCTAACATGCTCAACCAATTTTCTTAATTAAATCACAAAATCATGTGGTATCCAAATTGTTACAAAATAGAAATTGACACAATTTTGATACATACTGTTGTTTTATAACATTCATCCATTATTTTATAAATAATTTACAGTATGTTTTTTTCAATTTTTAATACAAATTGTGCTTTAATATCTATTTTTTTATGTATAACACTGGTGTGTAAGAGTGTCCGCGCGCACTTTTGTCCTTTATACGAATGCAGGTTTGCTCAGCGCGAATAATCGTCGTTTATAGATCGGCATTAAGCGGTTAAGTGTGACGAATCAACAAAAAAAAACCCATAAAACATCGTGTGTCTACATGGGAATGGGAACAACTCTAATGTAAAACAAATACCTTTGGAGAATCACTAACAATGACGTAATTTTATTATTTTTTTTAATTAATTAAGTAAGTAGTCAAAATGTTTTTTGCTATACATATAAACAAATTAAGTTGATCCAAATTTTTTATGTCGCTCTCAAGCCCATTTCAGGCAAAAAATGTTGGCATTATTACCACAACTTTGGAATATCGATATGAATTATGTAAAATTGTTACACATTCTTAAGTAGGCACTTAGTCAAAATATATCTTTTAGGCTACATATACATAAACAAGTTTTAACGTGATTCAAATTCACATGAGGTCTCTTTCAGACCCATTTCAGGCAAAAAATGCTACCATTACCACCACTTCGGGACAACATATCGGCTGATACTGAAAATAATTACAAAAAAGATAACCCTCCTTCTGGCGCAGTCGTGTAATAAGCTAATTCATCAATCCTTAAAAAATATGCGACATGACTTAATTGTGAAATAATATTTTTGTGAGCACTTTTGTGCTTCAATGTCCGAGCGTTCTTTTTATTCGTCCTCTGCCGTCAGTGTGTTGTTGAAATAAACAGTGTAATCCCGCAACCGTACTATTTTTAGGTCAGATTTAAATACTCGTGAACTCGTGTAAAAGTGAAAGATATGTTTTAACTGAAAATTTTAAATTAAACTCACGATAAAGGACATTTTCATTGAGATTTGTTTTAATTGTAGATCCAGTTTTTATTTGAAAATCGACTTCATAGAATTTTCTTGGAAGCGTCTTTTAATTTGTAGATAGATAAGTCGTTTATGGTTTAAAGATGCCCTTGGTAAATTTATTTCAACGTTATGAACTTTTGAAATTGATTTAATGATTTGTACAGAACTCATCAAGACTTCTTACGCATTTTTTTGTAATCATCAACTTTTTTTAACCGAAATCTTTTTAACTGTCCATAACGGTCATTCATCTCATTATGGAAATCAAATTCATAGGTATAGTTCAGATCACCCTCAGTTTATCTGGACCGGTCCAGCAGCTGTGTCCGGTAATGCCATTGTGTTCGCCGGCCTATTGGACCGGACATCGGACAATTAAGGGTTATCTGTTACACAGATAGTTTGAATTAATAAGCAAACTTGAATTTGGAAGGTTGGAATAACAATTTGATTAACCGTTACTTACGCGGTGAATGTTTAAAAACGTTTTTGGAATTGTGTTTCTAAACTGTTTTTGTACTTGAACCAATGTCTGATGATGACGAATCTACAGATTTTGTTGTTGTGTTCTGTGTGGTCAAAGACAGAAAAGAGCTATGTACAATCACTGTATAATATTAGTTGACCTCTATCTCTAAAAATATTTGATTTATTTTTAATAAAATAAAATTTGATAGCTCTACTACAGAATACTCACTCTACAGTGCTAATTTTCAACTCTAAACAGGTTTTGCTTGATTTGTGTTTTTCAAATACATAACTGTAATTATGTAGTACCTACTAGTAATTCGGTACGATTTTGTACGGTTTGCTCAATAAATAAAAATATTATATCCGAAATGTGCCCAATGTGCCCTTCAAATAGTGATGGTTTTTTCAAGATGAAGCTGTACCTCTAGTAGGAAAAACTTTCGAGTTCGTTTCGTTGCGTATTCAAAGTGTCATCGAAAAATTTTGTATGAAAAATTAAACAGCGCCCCCTAGGGCGGCTATAATATAGGGGGCGCTGTTTTTCCTACTAGAGGTACTGTTACTTAGTGCTTCCGAAGATTACCTATGAAACTATTAAAGAAACTGTAAATATTACGTGATCGACGCTTTGGTGATTAAATTATGAATTTTTTACTTCATGTATTGTTGTTTGTCATTATTTAAGATCGTGATTTTCGTTACATAGAAGCCTGAAAGTTTATTTTATATGACAGTTAAGTTGTCAATTTAAGTTTTTGTATTAAATAGTTTTAACAGTTACCAAACCGTTATTTACATTGTTTGTGAGTCAGTTACAGGTTAAATTTTGATTGACCAAAGTAAAAAAAATATCACCAAAAGCTAGAGTAGACAGACAAGTTTTTTTTTGCAAAAA